CTTCGGGGGCAGGGGGGGGTTGGAAAATGCAGTTTTTGGGGATGGAAAAGCCCCCGGGTTGGGGCTGAAAGTTCCCGGTTTGGGGCTGAAAGTTCTCAAGTTTGGGGGGGCCGAACCCCCCCGGTTTGGGGCTGAAAGTTCCCAAGTTTGGGGGGGCCAAACCCCCCGATCTGGGACTGAAAACACCAATTTGGGGTTGAAAACCCTGACTTTGAGATGAAAAAGCCCAATTTTGGGGAAGAAATCCCAAATTCGGTGGAAAAACACCCATTCGTGGCCGAAAAAGAAGAATTTGAAGGCCGAAACCGGCAACTTCGTGTTGAAATTCCCCGATTCGGGGCGGCAATTCCCAAATTTGGGGTAGAAAAGCCCATTTTGGGGGGCTCCCGACTCAGTTTCTCCCTCGAAAATGCCAAATTCGGGACTGAAAATCCCCAGTTTGTCGCCAAAAATGTGAATTTGGGGGCTGAAAATCCCAAACTGGGGGCTGAAAATCCCAATTTTGAGCTGAAAATCCCAATTTTGAGCTGAAAATCATCATTCTGAGGGCCAACCCCCCCTATCCCAATTTAGCTGAAAATCATCATTCTGAGGGCCAACCCCCCCTATCTAGGACTGAAAACACCCATTTTGGGTTGAAAACCCTGATTTTGAGGTGAAAATCCCCCATTTTGGAGTAGAAGCACTGAAATCTGTGGGAAAAAAATCAATTTGTGGCTGAAAACAAGCAACGAGAAGGCAGAAAATTGTTGTTTTGTGTGGGAAATCCCCAATTCGGGTCTGAAAATCCCAAATTTTGCTTTAAGATTCCTAAATTTGAGGCTGAAAACCCCAAATTTGGGGTTCCCGACTTCGTTTCTCCCTCGGAACCTCTCGTTTTGGAGATGAAAATGTCAAATTTGGGGCTGACAATTACCATTTTGGTGCCAAGAAAGTGAATTTTGGGCTGAAAAATGCCAATTTTGGGTGAAAATCCTTATTTCAGCACCAAGAAAGTGAATTTTGGGCTGGAAAATCCCCATTTTGAGCTGAAAATTCTCACTTTGGTGCCCAGAAAGTGCATTTTTGGCTGAAAAATCCCAAATTTGGGGCTGAAAATCGCCATTTCGGCACCCAGAAGCTGAATTTGGGGCTGGAAAATCCTGATTTTGAGCTGAAAATGCTCATTTTGGTACCAGAAGAGTGAATTTTGGGCTGAAAAATTCTGATTTTGAGCTGAAAATCCTCGTTTTGGTGCCAGAAAGTGAATTTTGGGCTGGAAAATCCCCATTTTGAGCTGAAAATCCCCATTTTGGCGCCGAGAAACTGAACTTCATTTTATTTTCTGAAAATCCCCATTTTGGCGCCGAGAAACTGAACTTTGGGCTGGAAAATCCTGCTTTTGGCTTGAAAATTCTCATTTTGGCAGCAGAAGAGTGAAATTTGGCCTGAAAAAATCCCGATTTTGAGCTGAAAAGCCTCATTTTGGGGGCCGAGACCCCCGATCCGCTACTGAAAACACCAAATTTTGGGTTGCAAACCCTGAATTGGAGATTAAA